ATCCAACCTCTGAAAGGAAAAAAAAGTTATCTGATTTAGCTCTAAACCAACTTGAACTGAATACAAATGAAGAAAACCGATTGGATGATGAAAATAGTTCAGATGATGAGATGGAATTTTTAGGAGAACAAAAAGTTGAAGCTGAACAAAAAATTGAAGATGAACTGAAAAAAAGCAGGAAAAAAAGAAGCACAAGAAAAAAAATAAATATCTAGTATTCACAAGTACCTTAATCAAGGTACAAAGATGTGTTGGTAATTAAATTTTAACAGCAAAAAATATTTTTAACCAATCAATCAGGCTTGTGATTAAATAAGATGGAAAGAAATTTTAAATAGTAAAAAAAAAAAAAAAATCAGCGTGCTTATCATTGCGTCAAAACTTTTTGCTCTATTCACTTTTTTTCTTCCTTTTTTTTTTTACTGCGTTGGCTAATCAATTATTAAAATGTAATTGTGTAAGCTTTTTCATGCTTTTTATCGTGAGTCTTCATTATCGACAACTTATATTTACTATTATTATCATGTATTTATGAAAATATTCAGTAAAATTGAATAAACCATTTCATATTTACTCGAGCTTAATTAAAGTCTTGATATTATTAACAATCATAGCAACATTAATATTTGATTGGATCTTGATACTATCATTATTCACGATGTTAACTCTTCATTCACATCTAGACTTGTGCTCAAGAGCACTCTCGATTTCTATCACTCCTGTATTATTATACTATCGAAAATAAATTATTTATTTACTTTATTTTTTTATTTGTTTTATTGATAAAATGAACGAATAAAAATATTAAACAATATATTAGATACATACTGCATAAATTGCGATTCTCACATATAATAATATATTGTTAAATGAATAAATATCCACTTACATACTTTTCACTTGAATTAGATTATTAATTCCCTTACATATTATTTCACTTAAATTAAATTGTTAATTTCTTATTTACATCTTTATATGGAAAAGTTGCACTTATGTTTTATTTTTATTAGAATGTTATTTTAGTGCATAACTTTACCCTTTTCTTAAAATCGTATCCAATTTAACTTTCTTCGTCTGTTACTATTAATCGACTCAATTATAAAATAACCCTCTTATTCCGGTTTTTAATTTTGCTTAAAATTCTATTTTAACCCCTATATATAAAATTTATTTGTACTAACTAATGAGAAATTGTTATAAAAGGGCGATCTTGGTTCTTTAATCCAATATTAATAATTCGATATTTCCAAATATTGATTAAAAGAACGATTTTATAATTGTCTAAAATGTCTCTTCAAGTAAACCAGATACTTATCGATATCATGAATTGCTTGATGACAGTTATCAAGTTCGCATAAATGTTAACGCTAACCATCCGCGAGTTCCTATACTTTTACCCATAAATCAGCATCAATCAATGACTAACTTAGCTACTTTCCCTCTATAGCAACCTTCAAATTCTTTAATTAATCTTAATGACTGCTTTCAAAATAAACTATTATACATGTTTCCATGCATTTCTTGTTTATATTGTTCAATTCTTATGTTTCCTGCTCAAGCAAAGTGAGCACTCTGTAACACTGATATAGAATACGACCTTTGTCAAGCTTTTTTGCACTTATCACTCACTAAACATTTAAATAAAGAGAAATATATTGCTGTATGTCTATTATGTATATTCGCTGCTAAACGTCATAATGCCCTGAGGCTAACACCGATCCTGGATGCCATATCAAATATTCCTATGTTTTATTGACGATGGCTTTTCCTATTCATTTAAATTGCTTACTTGGACGTGCTGAAATACAAATCCATTTACTTATTATCATCATCTTACTGGCATATTTGGTCTGTCAAAAAATATCAGGGCTTTACAGCTTTACTCTAGAATATTAGAAGCAATATTAGATACTATGTATGATAATAACTGGTTTCATCTGTCTTTGCAAATTGCTGCTGATTGATTAAAGATCAATAATCGTTTTATAAACAATTTGGTTATGTGCTTTCTTCAAGCATTATAATACACCTCCCAAACATATTTCCTACAGTGTAGCTGATTAGTGATGATAAAAATACACCAAACGATAGCTTGATTTTACAACACCAACTGGATTTAGTAGTGCTGCCATATGACTTTAACCCTGAAGTTCAAGATGAAGATTTTCACTATGATAGACTATTAGCTGGTTTCATAAAAGACCCTAATAATGTACAATTACCTGTTCGGCATAATGATCCTGACTTAGAAGCTATACTCTTTCCTGATCTCTTTCCTAATGGACATGGTCATTGGGGTGAAATCTCTACTAGAATGAATAATCATTGACGACATATTGATACATATGCTAAGTATATTAAACTTCATTTAATGTGCCCAGATCTTTGGTTCTGACTTCATTGGTATTGGCCACATTGGTCTTATACTAATCTAGAAAAATTGAGAAACCATCAAAACAAACAATGCATTTTACATTAACAAAGTGTGGATCACCAACAACTTCCAACACTTGCAGATCTAATTAATTAGAGTGTTTATAATAATCGTCCAATTATTAATAAATTATTAACAACCACTATTTCTTCTTATATTCGAACTGGTGATACATACTTTCATCAACGTGAATATTCTATAAATGCGATAGTCCAAAGTTTTGGTCTACCTCAAATTTTCTATACTATGACTATGGCAGAGGGACGTTAGCTGCAATTGCTAAGAATTCTATCCCATACTAATGATCGATGCACTTTACCAACAAACTGCCCACTTCATACCTACTTTCATTATCATCAAAGGCTGAAGTCTATTCGAAATCTATTATAGAAAAATCCTAATTTAGCTGAATGGGGTAAATGGTTACACCATTTTGAAAGAGATGAATTTCAGAATCATGGTGGTATACACACCCATGATATAGCTTACCTTGACGTACCAATTTCAACTCTAATAGATCATAATATCATCCGTGCTGATTTACCTGACCCACAAACTGAACTAGTTCTTTATGATCTGGTTCGTAATCATCAAATTCATCGATATTGTTCTAGTAAATGTAGTGGGTCTACACTGCCTGGAGAACAATGTAAAAAAAAATTTCCTGCCCCATTATTAATTATACTTATCTTGACCATTCTTCTCTATGCTATACATATCGCCGAATTGTTCCTTATCACGCACTATCCTTACTATTGTGGCAAGGGCATTGTAATTTTTAATATGTTATCTCTAAATCTTTTGCTAAATACATGACTAAATATATTACGAAACCTGAAAGATCTGATCTGTTTAAATTATCCGAATATGACGCCTACTGATCCTATATCTTAGCTAGATGTCTTGGAACGATAGAATTAATGATTCTCTTGCTTGTTTACTTTATTTGCCGTTCGACTATTGCTACTGAATATTTACCATCTATGCCACCTAATATAAGATCAAGATGTGTAAAACTGATTCATTTGTTAAATGGTGAAAATACTAACCTGTACTGGGCAGATGCTATTGATAAATATTTCTTAAGACTAATTGATTCACTTTTTAATAATATTACCTACCCTCATTATCATCAATACTATTGGATACTATCTAATTGCCCGAATTTGAGCGTAGACTACTGGTTTGATCAACAAGGCAAATTTGTAATTAAAAGAAGGAAATTAATTCTAGTAGATTTCAACATTTTTCGATAGAAGCCTTTTTTTTACCAACAACTTTTATTCTAATTGCCGTGGAGAAATGAAGAAGATTTATTAGGCTCATATTCAAACTATAGAGCACATTATCAGGCAAAATTTCTAGATCAATTCAATCAAGCTATGCAAAACATAAATCAATGTGCAACTGCAAGGCTTATTAAATTTTCACATAATTACCAACATCTAGTAAATCAAATAATCCACACATGCAACAGAATATAGTAATTGTAATTTGTAATCAATTAAACGCATTAATGTGCTTTCTGCCTTCAATTTCCCACCATTTATTACTAGAATCATCATCTGACTAGTACATTGCATTTAATATATTAATATCAACTTGGAGAACCGTAGATATACGAAACCATCTATACTTTTTTCTAACTGGCTCCGCGGGTACTGAAAAGTTATATTTAATAAATTTAATTATAAATTACCTTCAATCACATCATAAAACTTATATATTAATAGCACTGACGGGTGTAGCAGCCCAGAATATTGGTAGCAAAACAATTCATTCGCTACTAAAAATCTGTCCATCTTCTACAATTTATAAAACTTTAGCATTAAACAATCAAGAAAACTGTTAATTCCTTCTGAGCATAGAATTTATCATAATTGATGAAGTATTTATGGTATCTGCAAGTTTACTAACATTTATCAGTAGTCTTTTTGCCTGATTGCATAATAATCTTTTACCATTTGGTGATATCAAAGTTTTATTAATTGGAGACCTCGCTCAACTACTTCCTGTAAGTGGTGCTCAGATATTTCGATCACCTGTTTGGTCTGAATTCTACCCAATATTTTTAACAACACTACGCAGACAAAATCAAGATATTATGTTTTATAAAGTACTGAACGAAATTCGTAGTGGAACTATATCAGAAAACACAATACAGATCATTAATCATAAAATCAAAAATCTTTTATCTCACTCTCTAATCAACACTACTCACTTAGTAGGATTTCATTTCATAGCTGATAACATAAATAAGTTAGCATGTATTATTTTACCCTGAGAGCCGGATGATCCTGATCCTATTAATACAATTGCAACAGATAATATCAATACTCAAAACTTAAATACAATAGAAAATGACCAGGTTTTTTATCATTACACTAATCTATCTGCAACTTTCATTTTACAAAAAGGCACCTGTGTTATGTATCTAAATAATGATTTATTTGAATACGGTCTTTGTAATAGTTCCATTGGAATTCTTATTGAACTCATTGATGAAAATACAGTTAATGCTATATTTCTGACACCAACAACAATAATCACAGCAACAATAACCAAAGTAACAAAATGATTTCTTTTAAACAGCATGCCTGCTTATTGTAATCAATTTCCTCTTCAAAATGCTTTTGCGCTTACTGTACATAAAACGCAAGGGTTAACTATATTCAATGTTTCAGTATCAATCGATAAACAAATGTTTGCATATGGTCAAGCATATGTAGCGCTTAGTAGAGCCCCATCATGGAATTCTTTAGATATTACTGCATTTGATCCAAATTCCGTAAAAACTGATCTAGCTGTTATTGCTAAATATAACTGTTTAACATCAATGCACAATAATGGTTTTGGCAATTTTATACGAAGATACTCTTAACATTCTAAATTTATTTACCATTCATTTTTACTTCAGTTTTGAATATCACTTTATTTTTCATCCCTTAATCAAGTAGCTGATATAATTAATTATTATACTATAAATATATAAAATTACCCTAAATATTGAATAAAGATACCTCATAAATGCATTAATAATTAAAAGTCATTATTTGAAATAACTAAAATAATGATAATTAGCATTTTTTTATATCCGTAATTACTCCAAAACTATAATAATTCGAAAATATTAAACATTAACTAAAAAAACTATACTATAGTAAACCTCCATATCTACACTCATCATAAATGTACTCCCTCTCTAAATACAAACTCTAATTCAAACCCAAATATATATGTTATAAGTAGGAATGAAATCATAATAAAGTTCAAAATCCACTTAGATTAAAACAGAATAATTGTGCTAAAAATCCCAACCCAAACCTTAAAAATTCCAAATCAACTTAAATTTTGTTCCTACCCATGATACATATATAGAATTAACTGTTTTAAAATTTATCTGGAAACGTAACCTCTATTTGAATAATAGAGGTAATACTCATCCTAATCTTCAATTCCTTCGTTTCACTCAATTTAGGTAGAGCTTGGACCTGTGAACCCTTTATCCGGATATTCATATGGTTAACCGATATCTGGGTATTATAATTGTCTCACAGGTGGTAACCGTCATCCGCCAATTTTAAACAGATAACCTAATGGGTATCCGCGGATATCCGTTCATAGGAAGACATTCATATGATTGTCTAATTTTGTAGATCTACCCGTAATAATTATCAATCCAATTACATAATTTTTCATCATTCTAATACTACTAGAAAGAAATTTACTAACTAAGTACACACAAAAGAATTTATCATATAGAGAATAGATAGATATGCGTAAAGTAGGCAAATATGATATTTATTACCCTAACTCATTAAAAAACTAAAGACATAAACTAAACTCTAATTTATTATTGAAAAGCCCAAATACATTATGATATTCTATTAGATAGCTTGGACCTATTCAACTTAAATAAACAGTTAACAATAAAAATTTATTTAAATCTAACATATTAAAGTAGTTTTGGACAAAAACATTTCCAATTATCTTCACTTTACAGTATAATTTCACGCAGTCAAATAGGCGTTGGTATATTCTGTCCTCTAAGTAAGTGAGAAGGCAGAAAGGTACTCTAAAGCATATAAATGAGGGTTCTACTGACATCCAAAATCTCGAAACTATAATCTTGATGTGACAATTAATAAAGATTAGTAACCACATTAACAATCATTGTTAGACGTTTTAATTGTCACATCGCGTGATATCAGTATTATGTCCTGTCGAGATTTTGAATGTCGGATTTTGTAGTAGAAGCATAAAAGAGTTACCCGGATAACTAATTTACATCAGCCCATCAGATGAAAGTACTCCTATAAGTTATTCGTAGGGTTATCCGGTTATCTGTAGGTTTATCCAGTTATCCGCCAAATAAAAACTGATGGTTATCCGTATTTGACTTTTATAAAACGGGTAGAGTAAAACGGGTAACCGGATATCCAGATTCAAGCTCTAAATTTAGGTAAATACCTTATAATAATTATCACTACATGAATAGAATTTGAGACATATAATATCTGACTCTAAATTCTTAAAATTTTAGAGTTAGGACATAGATTATATAAATAAGTTCTACGCTAAAATACTAATTTAACTAAGAAATTCCAGATCTGCTTAAATCCCATTCCCACTTACAATATATATATGCCTCCGTAAATGCATCTTTTCCTATTGCTTTCCAAAAACTCATTGCTAAAGTTCAGTCCCAGAAGCATTTACGTAAATTTTTACAATATATAAAAAATGCCAAAAAAATAAAAATCGCTAAACTTCCATTTACCCGATTGATATCTTATAACAAAGAAAATAAACCTTATAAACGTACAATTATTTGTACAACTCCCTTAAATTACCGCTAAGGTTAATTCATTTTTAAAGTAAAAAAAATCTTGCAATAACTGCTACTAATGAATTTAAATAAATTTGACCATCTAATGCTCGCTCTTTTAAATAGCTATTAATTTTTTATACAATTATTTTTAGGGTTATATAATTTAGCGCATGTGCGTTGTAACGCACCCACCTGATCAACCAATCAGATCGTAAGATCAGGTGTAA